AAATAAATCAAGAAACGAGAGACATACCAGAACATGCAACAGACAGGACATAAAAAAAAATAAAAAAATAAAATAAAATAAAAAAATGAGAGACACACCAGAACATGCAGCAGACAGGACAAAATAAAATAAAATAAAATAAAAAAAATTAAGATAAAATAAAATAAAATACATTTTAAAAAATCAAGAAACGAGAGACATACCAGAACATGCAACAGACAGGATATAAAAAAAAAATATCTAAAAAATAAAATAAAATAAAATAAAATAAAGAAATGAGAGACACACCAGAACATGCAACAGACAGGACATAAAAAAAAAATATCTAAAAAATAAAATAAAATAAAATAAAATAAAGAAATGAGAGACACACCAGAACATGCAACAGACAGGACATAAAAAAAATATCTAAAAAAGAAAATAAATAAATAAATAAAACAAAATAAATAAAATAAAATAAAATAATCCAGAAATGAGAGACACACCAGAACATGCAGCAGACAGGATAAAAAAATAAAAAATAAACAAATAAAATGAAATAAAATTTTATTTATTTTTTTAAAATCAAGAAACGAGAAACATACCAGAACATGCAACAGACAGGACATAAAAAAATAAATAAAATAAAATAAAATAATAAAATAAAATAAAATAAAATGAAATAAAATAAAATAAAATAATAAAATAAAATAAAATAAAATGAAATAAAATAAAATAAAATAATAAAATAAAATAAAATAAAATGAAATAAAATAAAATAAAATAATAAAATAAAATAAAATAAAATGAAATAAAATAAAATAAAATAATAAAATAAAATAAAATAAAATGAAATAAAATAAAATAAAATAATAAAATAAAATAAAATAAAATGAAATAAAATAAAATAAAATAATAAAATAAAATAAAATAAAATGAAATAAAATAAAATAAAATAATAAAATAAAATAAAATAAAATGAAATAAAATAAAATAAAATAATAAAATAAAATAAAATAAAATGAAATAAAATAAAATAAAATAATAAAATAAAATAAAATAAAATAAAATAAAATAAAATAAAGAAATGAGACACACCAGAACATGCAACAGACAGGACATAAAAAAAATATCTAAAAAAGAAAATAAATAAATAAATAAAATAAAACAAAATAAATAAAATAAAATAAAATAATCAAGAAACGAGAAACATACCAGAACATGCAACAGACAGGATATAAAAAAAAAATATATCTAAAAAATAAAATAAAGAAATGAGAGACACACCAGAACACGCAACAGATTAAAATAATCACTATCGTTTGTGATTACAAGATATGGATACTCAAAAAAAACACGAAAAAAAAAAAAAAAAAAAAAAAAAAAAAAAAAATTGCTGTCCTGTCACAGCAGACAGGACAGAAAAAACATTATTATTCTGACGTCTAACATGTTGAGATATTCGGACTCATGTTCTTCTGACGGCACCTGTTAGTCATTAGAGCTCGTCCAGTGACAGAGGCTTTGATATGATAATCAGAGCGAGGAAAGGCGCCGGGGATCCGTGCAGCGGATGCATCTCAACACATGACACAAATTAGCCGCGAGTTTGACCTGCGCTGATTCCCACTGATTGTGTTTTCAGGAGAGCTGCGCTGCTGACAGACGCCTTTCCAAACACGGTTTCTGTATTATCTACATGTGTCCGACACAAACACACACAACCACTTCATTTCCATAATCCGTGCACAGATCAAAACACACATACACACGCTTTCCCAAACGCTCACAGATTTCCTCGCCTCTACCAACAGACTCCGACCCCGAGGGTAAAATGAACTTATACTTGTAAAAATAATCAATAAATATACATTTGTAAAAAATTATATTTATAAAATGTTTAAAAATATATAAATAAATATTATATATACATATACTTTTAAAATAAGTGATATAAATAAAATACACAATATTTTAATAAATAATCAGCTAAATCACACACAGAAATGCAGCAACAGAGACTATACACAGAACATCATTAATCCTAATTCCTTCAAAACATATTTGACAATAAAAATAAAAGATTAATAATTGCATGTATTATTATTATTATAGTTTTTAATGAATATTATAAAATTCATTTAGATATATAAAATTTACATTTTATTTTTATATTTTCTCTTTTCAATTTTTATTCTGCTTTAAATATTTTGTATTTTTAAAGTTTTTTTATTAGTTTAAAATGTGTCTATATTTCTTGAATGTTATTTAATTTAATTAGTTATTATTTTATATATTTACAATATTTCACAAATTAATATACTGTGTGTATATATATATATATATATATGTTATATATTTACAATACAATAATATTTTATATATTTACAATATTTCACAAATTTATATATATATATATTGATGTGCGTACATTTAAGAATTAAATTTTTTAAATATTTTTATATATTTGAACGATAGATAAAGGTCAGTTTACACATATATGGAAGAATATTCAGGACTATTTTCAAAAGGAATTGCAAATTGTATTTTCAGTTGCGTTTTCCATATCTGGACGCATAAATTGTGACGTAATCCAAATGCACTTGCAAATCCTGCATTACCGTTCGCGTTTTCGCTTTCGACTGCCACATTTCAAATGAAAAAGCAAAGTCCATTTGCAACTGTATTTCCTCTTTAATATTTAAATAGCAATATTAATTACAACGTCTGCTTTTTCATATCCGGAATATCCTTCCATTCATATATATGCATGTATGGTATTTCTTAAAGGGGTGGTCGATTGCGATTTCACTTTTTTAACGTTAGTTAGTGTGTAATGTTGCTTTTTGAGCATAAACGATATCTGCAGAGTTACGACGCTGAAAGTTCAATGCAAACGGAGATTTCGTCTTTTAAAATTATGTCAGTTTAATGCCTACAAAAACGGCTCGTAGGGACTACAACGAGTTACTTCCCGGGTTCGTGATGTCACAAACCCAGAAATTTACATAATTTACATAAACCCCGCCCCCGGGAACATGCAACAAAGGGGGCGGGGCCATGTTGCGTTTTT